AAGTTCCTAATTGGAGGAGAGGTTTTATTCAAATTCAAAGTATCAAAATTAAGATCATCATCAAAATCGTTTTTCTTAAATTCAAAAACTTCATTAAGGACAATATGAATAGACTATTATATAATCAAGTTTCTTTTATTAAAGACATAAAAGACTTTAGAAATTGAAGAACAACCAAGAAAAATACCTTTATTAGATTTTGTATCAAACTTTCCTAAAGTATCTTTTTCATTCAAGATAAAATATTTACAACCGAAAACTTTAAAATAAGAAACATTAGGTTTTTTTGTTATTCAATAATTTATAAGGAGTTTTGGAAAGTAATGGTCTTACTAGAATCCTTTTCATGACATATTATGTCGTATTAACGACTTCGACCCAAAAATATTTGGGTAGACTATGTTTGTTCAACATGGTTCTTACCATTTCTTGTAAACTCCTATTTTTTCTTTCTACTACATTTTGTTAAGGATTTCTAGGAAGAGAAATTATGGTTTTATCCATTAGATTCATAAAAGTTTTAGAAATCATGATTTTAAAATTCACCACCGTGATCACTCCGAATTGATTAAATCATAAAGCCTTTTTTCATTTTGAATAAGTTTATAAAACATAGAAAAATACTTAAAGCAATCACTTTTGTATGTATGAAGTATGTCCAAGTGTACATACTATAATCGTCTATAATTACAAATGCGTATTTGCTACCTCCTAGGTTTGTTGTATCAATTGGTCCAAAAAAATCCATTTGGATCAATTACAATAGTCTAGAGGTGCTTATTTGATTCTTTGATTTGAAACTATATTTTATTTGTTTTCCTAGTTGACATGCATCACATATATTATCTTTAACAAACTTAATGTTAGGAATACCTCTTACAAGTTCTTTAGATGAGATTTGAGAGAATAGTTTCATGGTAGCATGACCTAATCTCCTATGCCAAAGCCAAGCATCGTCATTCAAAACCGAAAAACATATTTCATTATAAAGATTATCAATGTCAATAGTGTATACATTATTTTGTTTTAGGGCAATCATAGATGTGTGTTTATATGATTTTTCAATAATGCACGCATTAGATTAAAATCTAATGATGTATCCTTTATCACACAATTGACTAATACTCAAAAAAATATACTTTAAGCCATCAACCAATAATACATCTTCAATCAAAAAGTTAGATTTGTTACCTATGATTCCTTTGTCAATGATTTTATCCTTGTTGTTGTCTCCGAAGGTGACATGCCCTTCGGCTAGGCTAGTGAACTTAGAGAATTTAGATGGATCTCTAGTCATGTGCCTTGAGCATCCACTATCAAAGTACCATCTCTTGCTCTTAGCTTGTAATGGTAAATATTTCTATAAAAAAGGGTGATTTGTAGGTATTCATTTGACCTTGATGCCTAAAAAATCGATCTACTCAATTTATCATTTTGCATAGAGTTCTTTATGGTTCCTTTAGGAACCCAAATCAATTTGCGTGGACTATATCTCTTAAATGAACATTTATAAGCAACATGTCTGAGTTTGCAACAAAAGTTGCATTTGGTGTAGGGTGATACATGCAAGGTAGGGCATTTAATAAAGGTGGTTAGATTTTGGTGAGAGCTACTCACAAATCTGATTCTGCCTCTTCTATGAACGTGACCCTTATTGGCATAAATCATGTTCAAGGACTTGCTACCAATCTTAAACTTTTCTAGAGTTTCTTGGAGTAATAAGTTATCCTTCTCAAGTGCCTCTAAGTGTTCACTCTTAGTGTACGGAGGCAATGAAGGATTATCATACTTATGTTTTTAAAATTCATTATTTAAAAAGCATACTCCTTTTTCAAAGAATTATATTTTTTGCTCATTATTACATTCATCGAACAAATAATGAAAAGCACTTAAAAACTCATTGAAAGATTTGCATCTAATGAACCACTTATCTCATCTTTGATAGCCATTAGTACATAGTTGGCGATTTTCTTGTTGCTTTGTTCTTTGTCTTCGAAATTGCTCGAATCATCCTACGTTGCTTTGAGCGCCTTCTTCTTCTTTGGTAGTTTCTTCTTCACTTGGGGACATTCGCTTTTTAAATATCCTGGCTTCTTACAATCGTAGCATATAACTTGTTCTTTCTTAGGTTCAATTTTATTTTTAGTGTCATTTTTAGATTTATTTCTTTTTATGAATTTTCTAAACTTCTTATCAAGAGTGCCAAGTCATCATCATAGTCCTCATCATTTGAACTTCCTTTCAAGTGGTTTTTATGAGTTCTTCGTACCATATCCTTCTTGTTCTTTGGAAGATTGTTCTTAAGCTCTTTATGAGCATTGCAAGTCTCTCATAGGTCATTAACGACCTGATAAGTTCTTCGATAGAGAAATTATTCAAATCCTTGGCCTCTTGAGTGGTCGTTACTTTAGGGTCTCAACTCTTTGGAAGGAATCTCAATATTTTATTAACGAGTTCAAAGTAAGAAAAATTTTTACTAAGCGCTTTTGGACCATTGGCGACATCCGTAAACCGAGTGTACATGTCTCCAATGGTCTCACTTGGTTTCATCCAAAATAATTCATAAAAATAGACTAAAAGATTTATTTTAGGCTCCTTTACTCTACTAGTGCCTTCATGAGTGATTTCGAATGTGTGTGCCAAATATTGAAAGCCATTTCAAAAATAGACACCCGATTGAACTCATTTTTATCTAAAGTGCAAAACAAGGTATTCATAGCCTTAGAATTTAAAGAGAAAGTCTTCTTCTCCAACTCATTCTAATTGTTCATCAGAAGAGAAGACTTTTGAAAGCTATTTTCCATAATGTTTCATAACTCAAAATCCATAAAAATTAGAAAAATCCTCATTCTAGTTTTCCAATAGGTGTAATCCATCCCATTGAACATGGGTGGACGTGTGATTGAGTGACCCTCTTGGTTGCCAACAAACACTATCTCTCTTGGGTTTCAAACCAAAATGAGAGTGACCTCACACTGATACCAATTGTTAGGATCAAGAATGACATTAGGGGGGGGGGCGTGAATTAGTGCAGCAGATAAAAATGA